TTAATCTAAATTACAATTACATAACCTGTAACATTGAATTAATGCGTAGGATATAAGTATTGGGATTATGATGAAAATATTAAAACTTATGTAAAACATACCCGCTGCACATACAGTATTGATTATATTTAGAGGTGCAGACGAATCTTTTCAATAAAGTTATACAACATTCGGCAAGTTACGGTTATGGTTACGACAAAAATCATATATCCTCAATGTGTCGTAATTTCATAACTATTTTATTGCATAATTAGTTTTATTCGCTAGTTACGACAATTTATAACCAGTTATAACTTGGTTACAACACGGCGTGTCTGAGTTTCTCCTGCACTCTAACGTTAATTGTATTTTTTTTTTTTTTCTGATGATTATTTAAACACATAGAGCATATATAGCATATACTGTAGGTGGTATGTAGTGATAAATATAATAAAGTATTTGACTTCTAAGCAAAGTACCTAGTTTTTTGATTATCAGAGTAAAAGATTAAAATTTAAACGTGTTGTACTGGTTCAAATAAGCCAAAAAATTATGTACCCAGATTGGTACAAGTTACACAACTTTATTATGGGCTTTTGCTCTTTATGTGAACAAAGGACAAACATATATTCTCGAATAGTTTTTTTTTTTTAACATTTTAGACCAGTAGAAAGTATTTCTATAATCTGGCACCTGGTGTTGTTTTTATCTATCAACATATTATATTCATTAGAACAAGATATATATATTATTCACATTGATCAATTTACATATTAATTGAGATCTACAAAGTTCTTTCTATATTTAAACAATTTTTTAAATAAAGTTCGAACGATATTGAAATGATTTTTTTTACCCTAATATATTTAACGAGTTGTAACATCATTAAGTTTAATCATATTTATATTCTTTGTTCATCAGAACATTCGTACATGATATGATAATTTTTATTTACATTTTTTCCTTGTTCTTTTATTAAATTAGAATATAAGAAAAAATGATAGGTAATCTTGATTTGTACTCTATAAAACTTTCTTTTTTGAGTCTTGTATGAAAATGCAACGAGCGGTCACTTAAATGATATGGATATCGATAAATCGGCGAGATCCGCCGGAGAGATACGTCGTGTCAATATAGAATATTAATGGGCACCCTTTTGTTAGACCATTAAAGTAGAATTTCTCCTGTTTTTCGGCTCTCATTCAAGGTTTGATATATATTTGCCGTGGAAAAAGTAACATTTTCTTTTAGCAAAACCATGAGCACAAATATAAAGTAAAGAAAATAAGTATAATGTGTTTGCTTTTTGAACTCTTCACAAACTTAGAAGTCTGAACTTTGACTACTAAATGTTGTTGCATATTCCGAGAGTGAGCATACATATTAGTCAATGAAAGGTTATTGACTAAATAGTTTTAATCGTAGCATCTATGACACAATATCTGGAATAATACTTTCATACATGCGCATTTATTTTTAAGAATTCGACCTATTTCTGGCAGAATAACAAAGAAAAAAATTCTTTCTGCTCGTAATTCACGTAAATATTACAAATAAAAGTAATTATTCTTTTTAAAATTTCTAATATAGGTTATTGATTATTTAAGTATGGAGACGCGTCGAATATCCTGACAGGCACATACATCATCAAATCAGATTGGATTGTCATTTATAATTGGTATCTAATTTTTTTTTCTTTTGTATTGAATTTATTTTTTGTTTATTAATAAGAAATCCTCCGTTTACTAAAAAATTCAAACACTTTGTAATTCAATAAACAAAGAAATTCTATTAGTTATTTACATAACAATTGGCGATATTTTTTCTTTTTATGTGCGATGAGTCTGTGGGGTTGTGCTTATAATTCACTAATATATTAATCGAATCTTTCTATTTAGTAATCTCTTAATTAAATAAATAATTAATGTAGAATTCAATATAATAAATAAAATAAAAATGTTAACTAATAAGTTTTTCGTTTAAATGAATATTGTTCTATCCACATATTCATAACACGTGATCATAAGCTTTGCTGATCTTTAGATTACATACTGTATTTAGAAAATATAAATTTAAGATATATGCATTGACATCACACGTGCGATAAAATTTTAATTACGGTAATTGTTAAAATTCAAATACGATTGTTTGATTAAATATGATTCCATATAGAGAATATTAATCGTTAACTTTTTTTAAAAGGTTAGCTTATTTCGCAAATACTCATAAGTAGATACATGCATACGTTATATAGCGATATATAATTTATAATATAAATTGTATTTACTTAATGAAAAAAAAGCCACTTGAACAAAGATTTTGATCGGCAAATACTAAGTATAGGGCTAACGAATACAGATATATAAATATACCAACCATTTTTCTTTAAGCATTAATGATCAAACAAGGTGGAATCTCCGATGGCGATAGGATTTTAAGGTTCTCGTGTACCCGATTTGTAAGCCTAATAACATTGATTGTTTCACAGTTACTCTTTTCATATTTACCTAATTCATTAAGATATACGTTTTCTGCAAGTTATAGTCGGAATATTCTAATAATGGAATTGTATTAACGTTAATACTTTAGGATATGCATTCATATACGTATGACCTCAAGAGTTGAGGCTTGCTAGATTACCAATCCTGAGTACAGATTTTTTGAGTTTTTATAACGATAATAAATAATTGTGTAATAGCCTTAAATAGATAATCCAAAAAAAAATCAAAGTTATTAAATTATACAATTGTGCTACGTATAACTATGTTTTTAGAACAGTAATTCAATACGTACGGTAAGCAGTATACGTATGCAAGTTATAATCAATAGTTAAACGGAAACTGTAATTTTATGCTAACAATTGTTGCGTGGCATGTAAAAAATAAAAAATAAAAGAATTTGAAATTTGGAATATTCTTGTATAACGGGAATTCGGGTTTGTGGTTTTTAGCTTTACTCGCGTTAGTTTGTTGTTATTTATGCGGCACGGCTAAACCAATCTTCCAGCAATTGTCGTTATATATCGTGGGAACAAACCGCATTTATAAATAAATAAGAATTATATTGAAGTCCTTGTCTTTGTTACTCTTTGTCTCCATATTCCGTAGAGATTTGCAGAGATTTTCTTTCCTCAGTTGTCCATGTTTGGATACTTGTACATCATGCACATTGTTAATCTTAATTTAGTACATAAGATACAATGGATGATAATTGTATCACCCAATGTCATGTGCCTTCTTTGTCAACCGCGTCAACAGCGATGACAATGAAAGTTCAGAATGTAAATCATATAAAAAACTTTTAAATTTGAATATTGGCATCACCAAAACTAGGTTTTTTTTTTTTTTGGGTTCTTCTTTTCTTCACGTCTTTCCTTTTTTTTTTTTAGTCTCTTGTAGTTCATCGCCCTTAATCTACAGTGCGACATAAAAAAAAATAAATATACACAAACATTGGGAAAGCCTAAAGCTTGTTAATTATAAAGTCTTTGATTCAACTAAGTTCCTTGGGTTTATCTTAATTTTTTCATGATTATATTATATGATCAAGAGCAAGAGGATCAAAACAAATAGCATTCATTTTAGTGTATAAAGTGTTCTTGAAGACAGAAGATTAACAGAATTATATAGTAACCAGATCATGGACAACAAAACAGGTAGCAATGAAAATAATATTGACTATTACAACAACTTTATCATATTCAACTTTTATCATCTAAATCGTGCTTTTTTAACAACGGTTATCTTCATTTGGTCTGTCTATTTTGTTCTTTCCCGGCCTGCACAAACTCAACAACCTCCCGTAATCAAATGTATTATAATAAGCTCGCGTGGTATTGGAATAACTTTATTATTTATTTCAATGGCTTTAGAAATTATCGCCGAACTAATAGCATTTGGAAATAGTAACTTTAATACTTCAACCAACATATTAACTGGTACTCCATTAATTGCTACATTGATTTTATGGAACTCTGCTTTGGCACTTAAATCTGTTGCTTTATTCATCGCACTTACACGTTATGCACCACTCACAAAAACTCTTTCGAAAGAACCAATAATGCCAAAATTTCAGTATTCATGTTGTAATTGTTTTAATCTTATTAGTGGATTGATAGTATATCCAGTACTTTACGCTGTTATAATTATTTCCATTTCAAGATGGGAAACTGCCTTGGCTATGTCTCAACTTTTCTTCCTATTTCAACTTATAATAGCAGAAATAATGTTTATCATATTAAATAAGCGTATGAGTATGGCATTGGATGAAGGTTTACTAGTAGGAAGAAATGCAATTCTACAAGTGCGAAAACTTCGTTCAAGAAATTGGTTTATTATAGTTTTTATATTTATGGAAATTTGTTCAATATCCGTTTATACCGTTGATTACTTTACAAAAAATGTTATTCGAACAAATTTTGCTGCGACAGTATTTCTTTTTGGAATAATGAGCATAAGTTCGGCACTTTTATTCGGCGCCATAGCACTCATATTATGTCCTGTGTCTCCACATTCTCGATTTTCTTGTGAAGGAACAACAACAAATTCCACGATAACATACCATGTAGCAAATCACAGCCATAGCTTAAATAATATTAATAATTTTCCTAATTATGTAACAGACAAAGAGAGAGAAGAAAACAATAATCATGTATCACATTCTCAACCATCAACATCAACAAGAGGATTCACATCATTTCGTTTAAAAAATTATTTCCAAAAATACAATCATTCCGAACCATTATCATTTATATTTCCAAAGCGGTCATCACAAATAACTTTAGATCAAAATCAAATAAATAAAGATAATCCCGAAGATCATTCTTGTGCCTCTTCGATCAACGATAAGTCAAATAAAAGGTTTAGTACTAATAGTGCTATAATCATTAATAAAATTATCGTTCATAAGCAAGAAAGTTCGGAAAATCCTCAAGAAATCAAACCACTTGAAAGTGTTATCCTGGCTTCATAATATTTTCAAATACCAAATTCCAATTTATGAACAAATGATAGTTTTGCAACAACCCTTGTACAATCCTTTTTTTTTTATATAGTGTTTATACATCATTGCATTACCTTTTTGAACATACATTCTCTTTTTTCTTTTTTTTTTTTTGTTTGCATATATATATATATTTTTTATACATATTTTTCATACATCATTTTTTTATTTTTTTTTAGATTCCACAATAGAACATTATTTAGAATATAATCAGGATTGGCTCAAATTATATATATTATATATAATAATGTATTTTATACTTTGTGTAATTAGAATAATTTAATCATAGATCAAATCTGACCAAACCAAAGACTATTTTTACCAACGACCAAAAAATTTACAATTGACCAACCCTGAATATAACACATTTTATTTTATTTTATTTTATACATATATATTCCCATTTTTATTAGTTATTTATTAACGTTAGGTTAAATATATCATTCACTTTATAAGTGCCTAAACATTATTATCTTTTCCCTGGCGGAAATTTTAAATTCATTCACAAGATTCTTGATTTTATTATCCCATTTTATACATGTTCATTCCTCCCTGTAACCATATGTAAAATACACCTAAATTATATGTATATATGTATACTCTTAAATGTGTATATGTCTTATACATAATCTTTTTTTTTCGTGTATAATAATTTTTTGTGTGCATAAACAATTAAAAATTCAAATTTGTGGTTACATTGATAAAAAAAAAAAGAAAAGTATCTGAAATTTAAAAAAAAGATGAAAAAAAGATAAAATAAATTGACGTCAATTCGTTCGTCCACTGTTATGCCCTTTTTTTTTTATATTAGAAATTATCAATTTTTAAATTACATGTTTTTTTAGCTAATGATTTTATTCTTGTAGGATTTAAATCGAGTATTAATACAAAATATTGCAAAAAGAATCCTCGCCCCAACCCTAAAGTAAATGAAATGCGATTTTTTTTTTTGTTTTATCGTTATTAATTTACATGTTACTGGTGATAATCACCAGTGGTTAATCGTAGTAATTTTCTAATTTAAATACAAATATTATTTTTTATTGTCCGAAACGAAGTGAAGACCTTATGTTTGTGAAAAAATGAATGCACGTTCATGCAATGTGTGTCATAAAATGCGTTTAATAAAAAATAAAAATTTGATGGTTACATCAATTTACATACAAAATAAAAACTGAGAAAAGGGAAAAAAGTTACAAAACTACTAACAAACTATATTTTTGTAATAAATAACTAGTTGTAATAAGACTAATATATCTTCACAACAAATAATAACAATAAAGAAAAGAAGAAACAAAGATATCACAATTGCAAAACTAGTAACTTCTACTAAAAAGTTGTTGACTATGTTAGCAACACACTCTCTCAATAATACTATTCCTAGTCACTACAATATTCTTTTAACTGAAGATAACTCAGATGATAACTAGTATAATAATAGATATTTAAAAAGAAAAAAAGAGAAAACAAAAAGGACAAACAAAATAGTAATAAAACAAATACTATTGAAAATAAAAGTCTAAATATTCTCAAAGAAAAAAATCAAAAAAGTGAGTAATCTAGTTTATCTCTAACAAACACAACATTAATGACATATGATAAATTATAAAAACAACAAACTAAATTAGTCTATGCACCTAACATAGACTCTGCAGATGAATTTTCTAATTTAGAAATAAAGCAGGCTGAAGTACAACAAACTACAATGCATCTTATGACTTATTACAAAACACAGATCTAATTATAGATAATAAGTCAACAAGAACTATTACAGATACTCCCACACCTCTACAAAGTTATAGTTAGATATTAATAGAAACACAAGAGTTAAAAGAATTTCTTATCCTAATTTAATTAGATTTATTAATGACTAAATACAACAAGCTTAACAAGTTTTATTTTTTTTTATTTGTTAAGGTTACTTCCTTAGCCAATTGGATTTTATTAATTTGTAATTATGGAGTTACTATAGTAGTAATCTTCTAAGGTTTTATAGTTACATGATGAGTGTACAACAAGCCACATGTACAACTTTAGTTATTATCTAATTTAAGTAGTTCGCTATACAGATGATTAACTATTTGTTAATTCTACACTATACTGCTATACCTACAACTTACCTGTGGGTTACCTATTTAAACACTCTGATCATTAACTCTTTCTCCCATTCAAACCAACATTACCTCTATATCCAACTGCTTAAGCTAGCTAACTTACCTGGGGATTTATTTACTGCATGATTTAGATCCTCTCAAAATGTGTATTGCCTAATATATTATAAGCACGCAGAGTTCCAGTTAACCTTAGAAGTGATTCCTACTAGCATGATCATGTGCCTATTTCACTATTTATCTAGCTTAGACCCTTGTCGATGTTCATACAAACCTAGTTTCTGCTGTAGCCATTCACCAGATATAGTCCTCCAAGTTCTAACCAGATGTTTCATGAGGTAGATCCTCCCAATCTAGTTAGCTGCTAAGCCAAGTTGGTGTTGCTGCTAATGCAAGGCACCAGGCTGTATTACACAGTAAACTTACTCATATCTATCGATCTCATATCCTTCATACTTAGGTTTTTTACTAGATCAGGCATTAACTAGCTTGACTATTGAAATCTGTACTACTTTACCAAACTTGAGATTTCTACCATGCAGATCTCCTGCCTATAGATTTTATCAAGATTTATTCGTGCAATATAACTCAAATATTGCATTATACTTCTAATATCTAATTGACATTGATGCAATATGATTTATAGGATTGTAATCCCCAGAAACGAGCAGAGTTTACTATAAGTTGAGTACAAAGGTCTAGGTAATTATTCAAATTTGTCGACAGTAGGATTTGAACCTCAGATTTCTTGTATGGCAGTCTGGCAATCTAACCACTATACTAAAATTGCCAGACCTTGCTTAACAAGTTTTATTAGCTCTTAAAGATCAATCTTTTAATAAACAACTCTAGAATAATCAAGAAATCATAAATATTTTCTTTAGTTTAGACAAAATTAAAAAATTAGTCTAATATAAGCTATAAACAAAACCTACAAAAAACTCTATTCTACTAGCAATTAATGCAAAACTATATCATCAAGATAAAGCCTTTTTCTAGTCTTTTACTAGATGATAAGATGCTTATTCTCTTTATTAAATAGAGTATTAACAACTTCTAATAGCTGCAATTAAAAGATATAAATAATAGCATAATGCAATTATAATTAATAATAATAAAAAACAAATTTCAAATATGCTACAAAAAAAGATTGCAATAAATTTCTAGATTAATGAAGAATTTTTCTCTTTAACACTCATGAAATTACTTAATATATCTTATATTTTATAGAATTCACAAAGATACTAATTAAACAAAACTTCAAATTATTAAAAGAAGAAATCTGCAAATTACAATTAGTTCAGTTACAAACTTTACTATCTATACCAAATAATATACTAAAAGATATCAGCACAAGTTTGCAATTCTCTTTGCTAATTGCAAACTGAAGAAATATATATGTAATAGTAGTAATACTTTGTTGTATCTATATTTTTGAATATCTACAAGATATTTATATTTCTAATAAAAGAATACAACTATATATATATTCATATTTGCTAAATACTAAAACTAGAGATATATTTCTAATTTCTTCTTATGCAAAACTCAAAATTCTTAAGACATACAAATAATATCTTTAAGAATACTACTTGTTTTATACTATTTTTTTAAACTACTTTAGTATACTACTACTCAAATTATCTTTACTATTAATACACAAGATCTAACTTCTAGACTCTATGAATTTTTTTTTTTTTACTCTAGAAATACAGAACACTTCAAAAAATATATTTATCTGTTAAGATAAGAATATAATTTCAAAATACTACTTAATGACTACCTGATCAGTAAAAGATAATTTTCTACTAATCCTATATCATTACTTCTCTCAAAATAGTTCTTTTTTCTAATAGAAGATACTGATATAATTAAACAATTCTTAAATACTATTTCTTATTATTATACTATATCTAATTCCCTTCTATTCACATATATCATAATTAATTATACAAACTAAGGTTTGGTGATCTAGTATAGTGAATAGGTTGTTAAAATACTATGTAATAGGTTTGAAATTCAAATCCTACTATCAACAATTTGAATAATTTCTCAAACTTTATATCTAACTTATAGTAAACTCTGTTTGTTTCTAAAAGCTATAACCTTATAAATTATATTGTACTAATATTGTTCAAATATTAGAAATATAACAGAATATTGAAGTTGCATTATATGAATAAATTAAGATAAGATCTATAAGCAAAAAATCTATATAGTAGAAATCCTAAGTTAGATAAAGTAGTATAGATTTTAATAGTCATGCCAGTTAATACTTGATTTAACAAAGATTTCTAAATATGAAAATATAAATCAAGTAGATGCAACTAAGTTTGTGATATTGAGTATTATAGCAATACTAACTTAGCTTAGTAGCTAACTAAATTAGAAGAATCTGTTTTATAGAATATTTAAAAAGACTGAAGTTTAATCTAGTAGAGTTTCACAGCTAGAACTGAATTCATATGAATATTAAATAAAAGTATATATAAGTTAAAATTAGAATATAGTATAGTATAGTTAGATATCATAGTATTTATCTATTAGGAGGTATTGAAGTAAGACTGATCTGAATAAGACCTAGATCTATAATAATAAAGTTTGTAACATATATCAGCTTGGGTATCTTTTAAAATAAAGTAATACAGAGTTAAAGTTAACTTAATAGTATAATAAATTTAAAAGTAATATTATACTAGAGAGTTTAAATAGGAAATCTTCTAAAAGATTTTAGATATAGCAGCTAGTATAGAACCTTCAAGCAAATTACTTAAATTAGATAATCTAAAATTGTATATATAGCTAGTTATACTCTTATAATATATATTATATTCTAAACTTTATTAAATTAATAAAAGT